AAACGGACTCAAGGATCAATGGAACAGATTAGACAATGGAGAAACAACTCCAAACACACTCAGTCATCTCATCTTTGGCAAAGGGGCCAAACACCTTCAGTGGAAGAAAGAGAGCCTCTTTAATAGATGGTGCTGGAAAAACTGGCTATCCATAGGCTAAAGACTAAATTGGACCCATTCTCTCATCATGTACTAAACTGAAATAAAAATGGATCAAAGACCTAAATATTAAAACAGAAACACTAAATGTGCTGGAAGAGAGAACAGGTAGAACTCTTAGAAGTCATAGGTACAGGCAAAAAGATTATGAACAAAACCATCATTGCACAGGAAATATCACAAGGAATCAACAATTGGGATCTCATCATTGTACTAGTCTTTCTTTGGTACCAGGGGTTGAACTCGGGTCCTATGTGCTTTCAAGGCAGGAGGTGGAACCACTGAGCTAAATCCCCAGCCCCCATTGCACTAGCCTTAAGGGGGTGGTTTTCAAAGTTCAGAGGTGGCAGTGATTGATTATTAGTGGCAAACTGTCTGTTCATGGATGTGGCAGGGTACAGTGATGGACAGAGAACAGTCAAACACGGAACAGCGACCATCACAAAAAATCCCAAATAGTGGAACCAAAACAGAGACAAAAGGAGGGAGGGAAGCAGGGAGAGAGAGAGAGAAGAGGAGATGAGAGGAAGAAGAGGAAAAGGAGGAGGAAGAAAGGGAGGGAGAGGAAGGGAAGGGAGAGCGGAGAGGGAGGAAGTAGAGCAAGAAGACTAGGAGGAGCAGGATGAGAGAAAGCAGAGGCAACCCTGAAACCCATACCCTCAAGCATGCAGTCACAACACAGCACAAGCCGCGTGTTTCCTCAGCCCACTGCAATTGTGCAAAGTAGGATAACTGTAATAAAAGAGATTTCTTAAGAAAGCTTGCAGTCCCCAGAGAACAACCTGGTCTCCAACCCTAACGCAAGGCAACCCCATGTGCTGTTCCTGGAAGCAGCCTTGTGGTCTGTCATGAGGAGGTTATAGCTCCTGACTCTTCAGACTTCTTGCTGTTGGACAAGGCAGCTGCCTACTTCAGGAGCTCTCAGTTTTTGGCTTGAAATTGTTCTGTCTTTTTTTTTTTTTTTTGGTTTTCTCCATTTGGCTCATCTTGAACCTTATCTGAGATTCCTGGTGATGAAAATCAGCCTTTAACTCTGTAATCTTCTTTTCTCTAAAATCATCTGATTCTTCTGATGCAGTATCTTCAGACTAGCCACTAAAGGAAGTGGTTAGTGCTGGTGGGCAAAGGAAGTGGTTAGTGCTGGTGAGTCCAGAGCCAGGTCTCAGGAAAAGCTGTCTCCTGGACAACCATATTGGTCTAGAAATGTTAATTTATTTTTATTTTTTTTCCGTGTGTACAGGGGTAACGCATCGTACTAAATATGTAAGGTCATATCTACATGGGTTTGATTACAGAAACTAATAAAGTATTCTCTAAATAATGAAAAAATAAATAAGTAAAACATAGTTTTCAGGGCTGGGGATTTAGCTCATTGGTGTCACAGCCTACCTCACAAGCGCAAGGTTGTGTGTGTGTGTGTGTGTGTGTGTGTATAGTTTTCAGTCTTAATTCTTCCCATTTTCACTGTTTAGAAGTTAAAAAAGAAATCAAATCTTTCATCCTACAGCAATATATACCCACTGTCTAGGCCAATACAAATTAGCATACAAAGCCTTTAACTCTGCTATTGGTATTTTTGTGGCCTATTTTCTAGATAAAGACAAGAAGTATATAATCGATTATTTTTTAAAAGAGCAAAACATTTAAAGGATTTTGCAATTGCATTTTAAAAGCTATTCTTTCAACATTATCACAAAATTTCATTCTACTTATATTCAAAAGGTTGTTAAATAAAAAGAATATATAAACAACAACAACAAAAAAAAAAAAAGAAAGAAAAGCTGTCTCCATTAGTTGTGACTGATTCAAACTTGGATTTTTTTCTTTGGGAATTAATTTTGAATTGAAGATGTAGTGATAGGGAAAACTTTGATAAATAGCAAAAAAACCTATGAAGTGTTACAATGTAAAAATGGCTTCCGCTGTCTCTAACAGCAGTTTGTTTTGTTTAGCTCAAAACTAATAGGGCCCGAAGGCACTGACTGCTGAATGAGGCATTTGGTCTGATCCCGAGATAACTGGACACATCAAGGGCTTGAGCTTGGGAGAGACTGGAGCCACCTGATCGTAGGAGTGTCTAGATGAAAGAACCCATGGCTAACATTCGCTCCCCTGACCCTGAACACCCCCTTCCTATGGACTAGAATAGATAACTAGGCGAATATTAAAGGTAAACTCCCCAACTGCAAAGAACTGTTATGTCTGGGTTGAAAAGATTAACTATTCCGTGACCGTGATTTGAACTGTGAGAATGAAATGTAAGCACCGGAATGAAGTCAAGGCTGTGAAACCCTATAAAAGGAGGAGTTGTAACCCAGTGCAGCATCAATCCATGCATGGCTTATGTGTGATTGACCCTTATCAATGAGTAAATTTGTTATTTTACTTCCATTCTGCTGCCTGTCTGTGTCACTTACTGATTCCTTCTGTAACAGTAGAAAGTGTTTTCTGGCTGTTACAATGGCTCCTGCCACTCAGGTGGCTGTACTCCTCCTTCTCCTTGTGGTGGGCACAAGAAGAGCTGCTCAGGTGCTTCCTCTGCTCGTTGGCCTTCTGAAGGACATGTTGGTATGAAAGTGAGCACAGACAGCACAGTGACTTCCCATCACCTGCTTTCTGTCATCATTTCTGTCAAATGCACACTGCTGTTTGCACTGTTCACAGGAATATGGTCGTCCATTCGTCCCTGAATTTGTGCCGCATTGGCATGTATTGCAGTAAATGCTACAGTTATGTTGTAAAACTGGCAAGATTTGGGCTTCCATACAACTGTGCATTCTAAGCACATTTCCTCCATATTGCATTGGTTTTACTGTCCTGCTGGTACTCAGTCTTGCAGTAGGTGCACTTCACAACAGGGTGTGCAGTTTGTCATTCCTTACACAGCTGCTGCCCCTGAGACAGTGCCTCAGAGGGAAGTACTGATGACATTTGGTGCAGGTGCATAGCACCGCCATGTCCGGCCCAGGCCATGCTTACCCCAGAAGTTTTATTTTCATCGGCAGCCAATAGATTTCATTTTTAGCCATTTTTCTCAAATTTCTTCTCCTTTCAATCCATTTTGAGTATTCATAAGCAGATAAATACGTCCTCCATCTTCCTCTGCAAAGATTTGTCCCCGTGATGTACAACAGAGCTTTATTTCAACTCATAGATGGTATCAGTCAGCTCATCACTAGGCAGTTACATACCCCACAGTGTTGGTCATATTGAATTGAGGCTCTTAAAATACTTTTTTTCTGTCAATATCAGGAACTTGTTCATCCTAGGCAAGGGCTGCATCACTGGTCTGCACCCCCATTCCTAAAGTACTTCTGACATCAAATCAGTGTGGCTTCAAACAGTGGCTCTGTTTTTGATTTGACAGTCAAATCACAGGACAATGCAAGTGGCACTGTTCTGAACCCACCTCCCTGTGCTGAGGTTGTCTGTATATACCTCAGCTTTATGCAGCCAAATGTGTGATGTGCACTAGTGCGGACTTCAAATTGTACCTGTGTGGTTATAAGATCTACTGACATGAATGATGATGCCGTACATCGTGTGTTTCCTGTGTCCTTTCTCAAAGCTAAATAAACTGTTTGTTTGTTTGTTTGTTTGTTTTGAGACAGGGTCTCACTGTGTAGTTGAGACTGACCTGGAACTCACTATGTGGCCCAGGCTGGTCTTGAACTCACAGTGATCCTCCTGCCTCAGCCTCCTGAGTGCTGGGATTACAGGTGTGCGCCACCACGCCTGGCTTAAAGCTGAATAAACTCTGTGCTAAGTTTAAAGCCTCCTTGTCCTGTGGATTTGACTGTGTAAACCCCAGATCACTATTGGTGACAACATAAAAGTACAATAAATGTTTACTATAGAAAATATATAAAGTTAAAAAAGCATAAAGAAAGCCTACCTGTAAGCTTTTCACTAAAAATAATCATTATTAATAAGTTGGCTGTTATAATTTGAAAGTTCATATAAAATTTATTTTTTTATAACCCAAGGAGAAGAAAATGCCTAATATTTAAAGGACTGTTTTTCTTTTAAAATATTTTACAGGGGCTGATGTAGAGAAGAATAAAATAAGACTGAGTGCAGTCAATGAAGAAACAGGAGATAGCGTGAATGAAAAAAAAAAAAAAAAAAAAAAAAAATTTTACAGGGCCCGGGATTTAGCGCAGGGTTCCGCTATCTGCCTTGCAAGCGCAAGGACCTGAGTTCAATCCCTGGTTAAAAAATAAATTAAAAATATTACAGATATTTTTGTATTACATATTTATTAATGATTTGGTAATATATTCTTAGAAAAAAATGCGACAGCTTACAACTGTATGAAGTTACATCAGCACATCAGTAACAATTTTAAACAATTATATATATATATATACACACACACACACACATATATATATGTATATACACATGTATATGTGTGTGTGTGTGTGTGTGTGTATATATATATATATATATATATATATATATATAAAACT